TCAACATTTTTTAGAATTAATGTGTCGGAGTGTCGTGTCGTATCCTGTATCCCGTGTCGGTGTCGGTGCAGCATAGTATATATATATGTATATAAATATGAGTTCACTTTTTTTGCAGTTACTGCAGATAAATTATCTGCAGTAAGCCCAATACGACGTCATTTTGGGGCAGAAATCACGCGCGCGCGCGCGCGCGCGCGCGCGCGCGCGCGCGCGCGCGCGCGCGCGCGCGCGCGCGCGCGCGCGCGCGCGCGCGCGCGCGCGCGCGCGCGCGCGCGCGCGCGCGCGCGCGCGCGCGCGCGCGCGCGCGCGCGCGCGCGCGCGCGCGCGCGCGCGCGCGCGCGCGCGCGCGCGCGGTATTTTTGTAATTTTAATTTATTTCAGGGTTATTATAGTTTTTATAATTATAATTTTCTAATCTTTCAATCCCAAAACGACGTCGCTTTGGAAGTAAATGCAGATAACTTTTCTGCATTAACTGCAGAAATCTTTTTCTGTATATATATATATATATATATATATATATATATATATATATATATATATACATGATTTAAACATGAGTTTATATTTCTTCAAGAGTTTGATGTCCAACAGTCAATTATTTACCATATATATAGGTCACAACATTAAATGTGAGAAACTATAATCATACACCTATTATTATTGAACGTCAAGCCGCTGTAAAAATGATTTTACCATATATATATATATATATATATATATATATATATATATATATATATATATATATATAGAGAGAGAGAGAGAAAGAGAGATTATCGTTTCTGAAGCTGCTTGAGATAATCTTATCTCCGGCTAGTAAATCATAACCGTACAAAAATGGATCAATGGTGATAAAAGAAGAGAGAGAAAAAGAGAATCATAACCATTTAAAGGTGAATCAATTAATATAAGGAAATAAATAAATAAAACGACTTAGTTTTGGAGTAGCCGGAGATAAACTTATCTCAAGCTGCTTGAGAAATGTTTTTTTCATATATATATATATATATATATATATATATATATATATATATAGCTGATTTGTCTATAAATCAGTGTTATGAAACCCGGACCGACCCGGCCGGTAGGGGTGTGCAAAAAAACTGGTTCACTTGCCCTGCCCTTGACCCGACCTTGACCTGACCCATAAATACCTACATTTTTTGAACTGGTTTAAATACTGACCCACTTTTATTTGGGTCAGTTTTAGACCTGACTTGTTTTAACATTGACCCCAAACTTGACCCATACCCATTATGTGAAAAAAAAATCACAATTACATTAAAAGAAAAGCTTTAACGTAAAACAATTACGTCAAAAATTTTTACGAAAAATATTTTCATAAAAGAATTTTCGCAAAATTTTTTGACGAAAAATATTTTCATCAAAATTTGTGACTAAAAACATTTATGTAAAGAAATTTGACGGAATAGTGTTTTTGTCAAAAAAAATTTACGGAATCTAAATTTCGTCAAAATATTTAACAAAAATATATATTCATCAAAAATTTCAACGAAACACATTACCATCAAAAAATTTTGACGGAAAAAAATTTCATCAAAATTCTTTACAGATTTCGAATTTCGGCGAAAGTTTTCGACGGAAACATTTTCATTAAACTTTTTGACAAAAAAAATTTCGTTGAAATTTTGAGCGAAACACATTTCTATCGAAAATTTTCGACTAGATATTTTGTCAAGTTTTTTGATAAAAAATATTTCCATCAAAATTTTCAGCAGAACACATTTCTGTAAAATAATTTCGTAAAAATTTTTGACAAAAAATATTTCGATAAAAATTTTGACGGAAAAAATATTCTGTTAAATTCTTTAGAGAATCTAAATTTCGTCGAAAGTTCCGAATGAAACATTTCCCTCAAAACAATTTCCCTCGAAAATTTGGACGAAACACATTTCCATCAAAAAATTTTGACGGAAAAAAATTTCATCAAAATTCTTTACAGATTTCAAATTTCGGCGAAAGTTTTCGACGGAAAAATCTTCGATAAACTTTTTGACAAAAAAAAATTTAGTCGGAATTTTTAGCGAAACACATTTCCATCGAAAATTTTCAACAAAATATTTTCGTCAAGTTTTTTGATAAAAAATATTTCCATCAAAAATTTCTACGAAACACATTTCTGTAAAAAAAAATATCAGTAAAAAATTTTGACGGAAAAAATATTCTGTCAAAATTCTTTAGAGAATCTAAATTTCGTCAAAAGTTTCGAAGGAAACATTTTTCTCGAAACAATTTCCGTTGAAATTTTCGTCAGAACACATTCCTATCAAAATTTTGAACGAAAAATATTCCGTCAAAATTTTTGATAGAATTTTTTTTTTCGTTTAAAACATTTGATGGAAGAAATCACTTTCGTCAAAACTTTTGACGGAAACAAAATTTCGATAAAAAATTTATTTTTGTAAAAATTTTCATAAGAGAAAAAATTTCGTTGCTTTTCGACAAAAAGTATTCCGATGAAAAAATAATTTTGTGACAAAATTCTCGTCATTTGCAATGTAGAAATTTCGACGAAATTTTGTGAGGAAACCAAGTCAAAAACGGGTCAGTCAGATTTGACCCACTTCATAAACCAAGTCAGGTCAGATCCGATTCAGTTCTGAACTAGTTCAACAAAATCCAAACCAAGTCAGACCTGGCTTGGATCAAATGAAAGCGGGTCGGGTCAAAATACCTGGCCTATAAAAACTAAGTTGGGTCGAGTCGGACAAAAACCTGACCTGACCTGACCCACGCACAGCCTTACCGACCGGGTCGACCCGGGAACCGGTAAACTGGTCATATAACTGGTCCGGTTGCAGCAACAGACCGGTTATGCATCAGAACCGGTGCGACCCGGCCGGTTTTCATGAAAACCGATGACTCGGTCGGTTAACCGGTGACCCGGTCCGGTCCCAAAAAAAAAATTCATAATGGACATATTTGAATATTTTTTTGCTTATTGACTTACATAAGTTATGTAACTACAATACTAATATTTTCTCAATTATGCACTATGCAAAAAATTTCGATTTGATTTATAATTAGAGATGTCGTTTTCTTAACCTAAAGTCACGTATCACGTTCATTATATATTTGTTAGATCTTTTTTTGGAGTATAATATGTCATTTATTATTATTTATATTAAAATATTTGAAATTTTTATCATTCTTTTTTAGATATTTGAGTATGTTTATAATTTTTTAATATAAGTTATAAAATTACATATAATTACCGGGTCATGCGGTTGAACCAGTGACCCACTGGTGTAACCAGTGACCCAGTATCTCAACTGGATCAATGACCGGGTCGATTTTAATAACATTGCTATAAATAACATTTAGTACTTTTTCAGTTTAGTAATAATGAAGGAAATAAAAAAACTCAAGAAAATTTAATTTTTTTTTTCTATTTTCTTCAAATATCAATTTTTTTTTTATTTTCTTATAAATAAAGTTAAATGACAAAAAAAGACATATATAAATTAAAATTAAAATTAAACTCTCAAAATAGAGTCCTAATTGTAATGTTAGGTTTCTTTAGCGAAAAAAATGATAAAATCAAACATAGTGTAGAAGGTAGTAGGACCCAAATCCAAGGACTGTGCTGAAACTGCAGTGTTATTGGGACATTTTGTCAAACACACACACAGCTCAAAGGGGTTGTTTTTCTGTTTCTCTGTAACCAGTGGCGTTCGTCGTAGATCACTGCGTGTGCTTACGCATCTTCTGTTTCTCTCTGCAAATGCACATGTACTAGCTTATTACCCTTTTGATATGGCTTAGATTGATTTGATTTTCCATTTTCTTATGACCTTCTTGTCACTCACATTTATGTTTTTGACAGCAAAATTTGTCTGCAAGTTTGGATATGTGTATTTCTTCAGAATGAAAACGGGTACTCGAATAAATTGTCAAGTTGCAATTTTTTTATTTATTTAGGGAATTCACTATAGAGCCTATGATTAAGGAAGTAAACCTTTTATTAGCTTAATTGGTTGAGAAGATGAGGAATGTAAATACTTAATTGACTTATAAATGCAGTAAGAAGTGAGTATTTATAAGAATTGGTTTTTGGATTATTGACATTGTTGAGGACATTGTTGAGGAAATAACATCAAATTGTGGATTGATTGACGTGATTTCTGAGGAAAGTTAAACATAGTTATCATTAAGCATGGTGATTCTATAAAGAGGTATAGTTTGAAGATTCTCAGAGAGAAAATAAAACTTGTTTGATTTTGGAGGACGTGAAAGGAATTAAGGATTATCTGATATGATATGTGGTTCTGCATAAGTTTATCGGACTTCCATTTTTTATGTTTGTGTTTAAATTTTCTGTAACTGTTGCAATCAGCTAAGTAACACACCGTTGTTTACGAGATTTACATATTGTGAAGTTTCTGCTGATAATGACGAAATACAAAGATATTGATGTTTTGAATATTAAAATGAAATTTAAGACCTGCTTTTTGGTCTGTGGACTTTTTGTTATCCTCAATACTCAAATCAGCTGCTATATGCATGTAACTCAACCAGCTTAGACCCTACTGTTTTCCCTCCCTAAATTTTCTTATTGTCACTGTAACTGAGTTAGATACATATTACAACTTCCAAAGAAAGTTTGTCATCAAGTGGAATAAAGTCATATTAACTAGATTTGTTAGCAGGGATCTTGCTGATTTCTTTCACCCCTGAAATATGAATATTTAGTTTTGACAAGATAAAGCGCTCTATTATGAGTCTATTGTCATGTGATAGTTGAATATATTAATTGCTTCCCAGTATTCCCTGTTTAGGTAATGCAATTTTATATTCGGAAGAAAAGATTTTCACTTTAGTTATTCAGTTCATTGAGCTTCTTCAGTTTGGTTGTTTGTGGAAAGGCTTTAGTGTGGCAATTAAGCTTGAGCATGCTGAGTCTTAGCTGTTACACATGACATCGAAATACGCATTTTGACACCTAGAATTGCAGTTGTCATCCTGGTCCTGTTATTACTGAAGATAGAAGGGGAAATGGGGAAAATAGCTCTTGCAGCAATAGTGAGCTCATGGGTGGTTCCTATCACCATAATGGTTAATCGCATAGTTCCTGAGCCATATATGGTAAGAACAAGTTTTTTAAACTGGGAGGATGGACAGTTGTTCATACTTAAAATGATACTGAAGAAATTTACCCTTCATTCAATATGACTAATATCCATGATTTGCAGGACGAGATATTTCATATACCACAAGCTCAGCAGTACTGCAAGGGAAATTTTGGATATTGGGACCCTATGATTACCACTCCTCCTGGCCTGTATGTTCTCTTATCTCTTTGCTCTCCCCCATTCCCCCACACCTTTATGAAAAGTTTGATCCTGTTAGCTTATATTTAATGGTAATGGGGGTTAGTTCAGTTGGTAATGATCGAAGCAAGGTTCAATTCCCACTGCCAGTAGTCTCCTTTGGTAGGTGATTTGTAAATATTGCTGTAAACCCTTGCTGAAGCATGTGGCATGCCTTGTCCTTGGAATGGGGCAGCCTCTTCTCTCCCTAAATTTTTGTTAACCAAAAAAAGAAAAAACTGCATGTGTGATGAAATGAAAAGTGAATGGAAATAACATATTGTCGGATGAAGAACAGAAAGCATGAATTTATTCATAAATAGCTAACTAGATAGCAATTTGTGGTGCATGCAAAACTTCCAATATGATGGTTGTACTATAGTAATTAGTTTTTGTCGTGGTGTGCCAAATATATTTCATGTGCATTTGACAGAGAAGCATTTGTAGGAATATGTGATCTGGAATATGGATATTTTCCAGAAAAATGGGATTTTTGTTGTTTTCTAGGCACATCAATAAATTGTTTGGTCTGCTTCTGTGCTTGAGCTGGAATTGCTGTTGGTGACAATTGACAATAATAATGAGAAGGGTTGCTCTGTGTGTTGTTCTTAACGATTATGATTAAGAACTCTTGAAGCATTAACCATGTATTCAAGTGACTGAAAATTCCTAATAAAGCAATTTACAACTGGATCCTTGTTTTGTTTTCTCTAACTGTAGTATGATTAAGAAATAAGAATCATACTAATGGAAGAAAACATAAGGTTTTGCAATGCTTTTGCTATTTAAATGAATGAGTAAATACTAAATACATATATGGGAAAGAACCTGGGCCACTTTGAATGATTAAAAATTGTATATTTTACTAAATATTGTAACTATCTCGTTCTGCTAGAAGAAAATATTTGTAGTGCTGCTCAAATCTCAGGATCAGGAGATTGAGCAAACTTAAACAATTCTACCTAGATAAATATTATCAGCAACTCAATATAAATTATCTAGAGTATAATGTAGCATGAAATACCAAGGTTGATCTTTGCAATATAAAAACTTTTGCAGGTACTATCTTTCACTTGCCCATGTTGCTTCTTTGTTTCCAGGCTTTTCCTGTGTAGAAGCTGCTTCATCATTTTCTGATATGTGCTCTGCTGCAATTCTTCGATCAATTAATGGTGTCTTAGCAATAATATGCAGCATAATTCTATATGACATAATTTCTCACTTGAAGCCAACACTTGACGATAGAAAGGCGATGCTTCGTGCAGTAGTCCTATCCTTGTATCCCCTTCACTGGTTCTTCACTTTTCTCTATTATACAGATGTTGCATCTGTTACAGCAGTTCTGGCTATGTATCTTGCAAGTTTAAAGAAAAATTACTGGTTTAGTGCATTGGTAAGGTATTTTTAGACTTTTTTATGTTGCAAACATATATTTAAATTGATGTTTTTTTTTGTGTGTATATATTACTTTTATCCATGTTCCTCTATTTTAATTTTCTGTTACACTTCTAGAAAAATTGAACTGATGTCTTTTAACATAATGATTATAGATATAGATGCCCACTGGTTATAAGTTTTTATTGTTATTGAACATATTTACGGCAAAGACCTGGTTTGTTTCTCACTATGATCCTTTGTACTTATAACTAGGAAAAAGTATATTCTTATCATTATAGGAAGATCCAATAAGTTCAAAATATCAATTAATCAATTCCTTATCATTGTCTGATTGCAGGAAAAAAAATTATAGAATTAGTTTGTAATATGTATAATAGTTTGTAATGGACCTACAATTATTTTCATAGCTATTCTTAGTTGAAATCGATCTTTGTTTTTTCTCTTGTATGCTTGCTTCTGGTTCGTACAACTCTTGGAACTTGTAAATCCTGACAGAATCTACCAAATGAGGAAGCTCAAAGGAGGAATTTTTCCTTCCTGGACCATTAGCATTGAGATTGTAATGATATTAAATCATTGTTTATGCTGACAACTTTATAGAGGGATGGGAGGGGTCTTTTGAATCAATTTTCCCTTTTTCTTTCCCTAGTTTACAAATGTTGATGAGTAGATGTATAGATTCTTTGTATATGTGGATAACTTTACTTTTAGCACCATATTTAGATAACTTTATCTGTAATTCTATTGTATAGAGTGGCAGTAACGTATCCAATATTATTTGTATAGATTGGAGCCTTTGCAGTTGTTATTCGTCAAACAAATATTATATGGGTGCTTTTTGTTGCATGCACTGGGATCATAGATATTTCTCTGACGCATGGAAAGGGTAATGCAAGAACAGCTGAATCAGATGTCTCTATCAAGGATGGTTTGGCATATGCTACTGGTACGAGTACAGTGGGCTTAAATCTGAGAAAGCGAAAATTTGTTAAATCTGTGGATACCGTTGAACACTCATTGCCTGGTACAGATGCATCTTCTCCTTCCGTTTCTTCAGGTTTGCTTCTACATGTTTAAGAAAACCACAAGGTCTATTTTGTACTCGTAACAAAATAAAATAACTTTATAAAGTTATAACAAAAAGTGAATCCCATCACACTTCCACTATTTTGTGCATTACATAGAATACATAATATTATTATTTTGCAGGTTTGGTAGATGAAATTTGGGCAATCCTTTTAACATTATGGCATATGAAGTGGGAGCTTTTGATTTCATTTAGCCCCTTTCTCATGGTTGTGGTGGCCTTTCTTTCATTTGTCTATTGGAATGGAAGTGTTGTTCTTGGTAACATTCATTTTCTTGTTATTATCCCTTGTGATCTTTTGGGCCACTGAGATCCTCTTTCTCACATATCCTACTGACACTGCAGGTGCAAAAGAAGCACACGCTGTTACCCCACATTTTGCTCAGATACTTTATTTTAGTTTGGTTTCTCTATTGGCTCAGGCTCCCATGCATTTCACTATCACCCAGGCTGTGGACCTGTTCGAATTGTTTTGGAAACGTAGGCCCCTTCGTTTCTTTCAGATTTTCCTGGCTTCTATTGTTGGCCTTCTCTCTGTACACTTTTTCAGGTTAGGTCAGACTCAGATCACTAATTAGACTAGCAAGAAGAATCTGTATCTTGGTTGTCAACAATTAAATGCATGTTCTGGTGAATTCAAGAACTCATTTTGCTCAGATGCTGTAAAATTTGAGGCTTATTTTTTTCCAAACGTATTTTATTGATATCTTTCATTGTTTTATTTTTACTTTTTTAGATTTTTTCACTGGTTTATCAATTATTTAACTAATTCAGTTTGAAATCTGACCTATATGGGGACGGCTCTCCCAAGACTATTTTTTCCATTCCCAATGCTTGAATTCGAGATCTCAGTTGAAGAGAACAAACTCCTTGCCACCTGAACTAATGTTATTGGTAATATCTTCCATTATTCATTGTCACTTAATACAGTTTTTCCAACAAAAAAAGAGGGTGAGCCTAGGTCTTGAAGTTTCTCCTTTGTGACTGAAAGGTCATGGGTTCAAATCAGGGAAATAGTCTCTTTACAAATATGTAAGGGTAAAACTGCATACAAAGATTGTCCTCATCCCACCCTTGCCTTCCCACTCCCCATTAAACCCTGACTAGCAAGGGTAGAATGAGGGTAATCCTTACGCGCAATCTTACTTTTTCGTATTTGCAAAAAGATTGTTTCCCGGATTTGAACTTGTGACCTTTCGGTCACAAAAAAGTAGTTTCTCGGATTCTAAATCTCTAATACAAGAAAATTAACTCAGCTTTTATTACTTCTGAAGTATTCTAGGACTTGTTAAATCTCAATATTTTTGCTCACTGTGTCTTTCAATTGATTTTTGCAGTGTAGCTCATCCGTACCTTCTTGCTGATAATCGGCATTACCCTTTCTATCTGTGGAGGAAAGTTATCATGGCTCACTGGTCAATTAAATATATTCTGGTCCCAATTTATGTGTTTTCATGGCTTTCCATCATCCATATGTTGGGTTAGTACATAGCCATTCTAAGCATTCTTGTTATATTCAATTTCTTATGGGATTATAACTATTATCTTTTGTCAAATAGGAAAGTGTAGAAATAAAATATGGATATTGGCATACTTCTTGGCTACAGCAGCTGTTCTTGTACCAACTCCACTAATAGAGTTCAGATACTACACCATACCATTCTATATCATGATGCTTCACTATAACAATAGGGATGATCAAAGTTGGCTTCTCACAGGGATGCTATATATTGGTGTCAATATCTTTACAATGATGAATTTTCTGTTTCGGCCATTTCATTGGGATCATGAGCCTGGAATTCAAAGGTTTATATGGTGACTTAATTCATCAGAAATGCAACATTGTAACACAGCCTAACTGCACTTTTTAGGCGGTTACTACCAGTTACTAGAGTAAAATTTTAAATCTCCTTAATGAATAAGTATAATAATCTTTTTTATTTTTTTATTTTTATTTTTCAGAGGTGTTAAAAGCAGGGATCCCTTTTAATAGTATTTTTTCCATACACACGAATTGGGAAATTGACATCAGGACCATATGCTTAAAGGATCTTTTTTTTTTTCCCATTCGGATTAACACATGTTAATATAATTATCTTTTAATAGTATTAAAGGTTTTATTAATGGGTAAGGAATTTCTCCGGTCAATAGAGATAAGTTATCTCCGGTGAATCTAAAATGACGTCGTTTTGAGACGGAAATCAAGATATTTTTGTAATTTTAATATATTGCAGGATTATATTAATATTTATCATTATAATTTTTTAATCTTATAATCTTAAAATGATGTCGTTTTGAGCTCACTAGAGATAACTTTATCTCCACTAGAGAAATACTTTTCTCTTTACTAATTTTCAAAATCTAATAGTTACCATCTTCCATTTAATATTTTCTGTGTAAGTAATTGGGAGGATTTTAAGTTGATTACAAGAGGATTTGTATTTACTCGTTCGAATTTTGCAAGAGCCGAGTATTGTTCAGGCTAAAATTGCATAGAACAACATTTGGTTAAAATGTAATTTTCAACATTATCATAGATGGGTTGGTTTTTTTTTTTATATTTCTTTAATTTCTTTTTACCGAATTATGTTTTAAATTAAAATATTAAAAAGAAATTGTTTGAAATTTGTATTGAATTTTTTTGAAATTATATAAAACTAAGGTCTAAGGCGATTAGATTATTCTAGTTTACGTTTTAGTTTGATCATTTAAATGAAGTTGACATTAGTTTAAGGGGAATATGTTCTTAAGTTGTACAAAATAATTTTATTTTATGTAACACAAAAAAAAGTAGGTGAAACCACTAAGAAAAATAAAAAGTGAATTTCACTCACTTTTTATTTTTGCATAAGATAAAAGTATCTTATCGAACACGAGAGACATATCTCCCTTAGTTTAAACTAAGAAATGACACATTTATTTAACTGAGTATACTCAAAGGATTGAGTCTCAAAATTCGATTCGTGAAATCTTTCAACTTTCAGCGTAAGTGGATGGTTATTCTTATCTTATCTCTGTTTTAATCCACCCTTTATTTTAATGGAGAGCTAACTTCAAGGTTTATATATATATATATATATATATATATAGATATATATATATATATGGGCAAGATACTCTTACACCGGTGTAAGAGTTAGAAGTCTTACACTCAATCTTGACCATTGATCCACTTGTATCCAATGGCTCACATTACTAAAAAATTTGAGCCGTTAGATATAAATGGGATCAGTGGACAAGATTAAGAGTGTAACTTACACTGGTGTAAAATGATCCTAACCCATATATATATATATATATATATATATGTGTGTGTGTGTGTAGGGCTTTTTGACCCTTTTGTCTTTCATTAATTAATTAATAATTATTTTGCTCCTTATTCAAAACGATATATTAATATGTCTCTCTTTAATCGATTAACTTGAATATTTAATCGATTAAATGATCAAAACTGGCAAAAATAGTTGACTTGAAGCTTTAATCGATTAAATCTTCAAGTTAATCGATTAAATATCCATCTTAATTGATTTAATCGATTAAAACATATTTAATCGATTAAATATCTTTAAGTTAATCTATTAAAGAGAGGCAGATTGGTAGATAATTTTGAATAAGGGACAAAGTAATTATTAATTAATTAATGAAGGGCAATAGGGTCAAAAAGCCTATATATATATATATATATATATATATATATATATATATATATATATATATATCCCCTTGCGGCCAAACAAGTTTACCACTTTTATAACCAATTTAATCACCGTTGATTTTCGTCAATCTAATGATTATAATTTATTGATAATTAATAATTAAATAATAAGTGTGACTCATTAAATGTTATTAATTTTCAATAAATTATAACCGTTAGATTGACAGAAATTAACGATGATTAAGTTAGTTGTAAGAGTGATAAACTTTTCTGGTGGTAAATGGATCCGTTCTCATATATATATATATATATATATATATATATATATATATATATATAATATCATGGGATAGGATTGGCGGTTATCATTATATATATATATATATATATATATATATATATATATATATATATATATAGAGGTAGAATCCTTTGATACCGGTGTCAAATTTGAAGTTTGACACCTCATCTGAGAGCCGTTAGATCAAAAAAGATCAATGGTGTCACATGCTCACAAATCAAAGTCGTTGATCTTTTTTGATCTAACAGCTCTCAGATGAGGTGTCAAACTTCAAATTTGACACCGGTGTCAAAGGATCCTGCATCATATATATATATATATATATATATATATATATATATATATGAGGCAGGATATTCTTACACCGGTGTAAGAATTAGAAGTTTTACACTCAATTTTGACCATTGATCTACTTGTATCAAATGACTCATATTACTAAAAAATTAGAGCCCTTAGATATAAGTGGGATCAATGGACAAGATTAAGAGTGTAACTTACACTGGTGTAAAATGATCCTCACCCTATATATATATATATATACATATATATATATATGGTAAAATCATTTCTACAGCCGTTGTATGTACAGTAACGACATGTGTATGGTTATGATTCCCCACATTTAATGTTTTCATTCTTTGTATGGTTATGATTTCTCGCATTTAATGCTTTCAAATATATATATGACAAGTATTTGATTACTGCACATACAGCAGCTGTAGAAATATAAATCCCTATATATATATTATATATAGAGAGAGGGGGAAAGAGAGAGAGAGGGGGGAGAGAGAGAGAGTTAGGATCATTTTATACTGACATAAGTTACATTCTCAATCTTGGTCGTTGATCCTATTATTATCTAACGACTCTGATTTATTAAATATTAGAGTCATTAGATACAAATAAATCAATGACCCAGATTATATGTAATACTCTTTATTTGTAAGCTGGTGTAATAATAACTTGCCATATATATATATATATATATATATATATATATATATATATATATATATGCTTTAATGTTTCTACAGTGAATGTAGATAAGTTATCTACATTCGCTCCCAAAACGACGTCGTTTTAGGATGAAAAATTAAAAAATTATTATGAAAAAGACTATTATAATCCTGAAATAATTTATAATTACAAAAATATTTTAATTTCCGCCTCAAAACGACGTCGTTTTAGACTCAATGTAGATAAGTTATCTACACTGACTGTAGAAAAAGCGAACTCATATATATATATATATATATATATATATATGAGATTAATATTTCTCATGTTGTAGGAGATAATTTTATCTCTTACAAACATATAAAAGTATGTGGGATCCATGTAAATAGAAGAGAGAGAAAATAAAACATGAATCCTACACATTTTTATGTGGATAGAAGAGATAAAATTATCCTTGCAACATGAGAAATACTAAACCCAAATATATTAACATTAGTTTAGTCATTTATTTAAAGGTTTAATAAATTTTATGTTATAAAAAATAAAAAATATATAGGGCCCATGCGAGGAGAACAGAGAGAAAGAGAAAATATGAGTCTCACATACTTTTATCAGTTTATGTGTGTAGGAGATAAATTTATCTCCTATAACCTGGAAAACAATAAACAAGTAATGAGATTAATGTTTCTTATATTGTAGCAGATAATTTTGTCTCTTATTCACACATAAAAGTGTGTGGGACCATATGAGATCATATAAAAAGAAAAGAGAGAAAAAGAAAACATAAATTCTGCACACTTTTAACAATTTAGGTGTATGTATTAGATAAAGTTATAGGAATTTGTATTTGTCATTTAACATGACACAATAAATTTTCTTACACACACAATATTTTGTGGAGTCCACACTTTTTGAAGAAAAAGAAAAAAAAAAAAATTATGACACGCAAAACGAATCTCTATAACATTATACAATTATTTTTTCTACAACATAACTCTTATAAAACCCAAAATTATATGCTATAACATTTTAAAAACTAAACTCAAAACCCATTCATGATAAGTGGCTTTTGGTATGTATTCATAGACTATGAGTTCTAACACATAATCTATTATTAATTATCACATCACATTATTATGTAAGCCTAAAACATGAATATTAATTTTAGGTCAAAAATTGTATTTTTTTTTTCCTTTAAACATGAAAAATTATGACGGATAAAAATAAATATAAAATATTAAATATGAGAAATTACAATCATAATAAATAAATATAATCATTAGATCCCTAACAATAAAATTAATTGATACTAACATTAATAATAATAATACTAATTTATTGTTACAGTATCATTTTCCTTTAATAAATTTAAATCTATAAAATTTACCTTCACTGTTGTTGCCTGTGCACCAGTCCACCATGTTCTGCACTAGAAGCATCCTTACCCGGCAACAACACCTCCTCCCATTCTCCACCGCCACCTCCGCCGCCATCGCCGCCGCCACCGTAGCGGCGCCCACCCACCTGGAATCCTACACTGTCCAGCCCCCAATCAAACCCTGGCCTTACCGCCTCCACCCGAAGCTGGTTGCATCCCTCATCTCACGCCAACACAACCCCAATCTCTCTCTCGAGATCTTCGATTACGCTGAAAACCACCACCCTGGCTTCTCCCACGATCCCCAAACCTACCAAGCCATCATCCTCAAACTATCACGCGCTCGCCACTTCCACAAAATCGAGTCCCTCCTCACGCGCCTTCGCCACTCGCCGCAGCGGGATCGCTGCAGCGAGGAACTGTTCGTAACCGTTATCCGCGGTTACGGACTCGCGGGTCTGCCCGAGCAGGCCCTCAAGACCTTCGTGAGAATCGAATCCTTCGGGATTCGACCCTCGGTTAGGTCCCTCAACGCCTTGCTCAATGCTTTGGTTCAGAACAAACGTCACCGTTTAGCGCATTTGGTGTTTAAGAGTGGTAGAACACGGTTTGGTGTTGCGCCTAATGTGGTTAGTTGCAATATTTTGCTCAAGGCGCTTTGTAAGATTAATGAGGTTGATGTTGCAGTTAGGGTTTTGGATGAGATGGTTGAAATGGGTGTAGTGCCAAATGTGGTGAGTTACACCACTGTTTTGGGTGGTTATGTTTGGAGAGGTGATATGGGTAATGCTAAGAGGGTTTTTAGTGTGATTTTGGATAGAGGGTGGGTGCCTGATGTGAATGCTTACACTGTTTTGATGAATGGGTTTTGTAGGTTAGGGATGTTGGTTGATGCTATTAAGGTGATGGATGATATGGAGGAGAATGGTGTTGAGCCTAATGGTGTTACTTATGGTGTTATGATTGAGGCTTATTGCAAGGGGAAGAAATCTGGGGAAGCAGTTAACTTGCTTGAGGATATGCTTGTGAAGGGTTATGTACCGAGTTCGGGGTTGTGTTGTAAGGTTGTTGATCTGTTGTGTGAGGAAGGGAATGTTGAGAGAGCTTGTGAGGTGTGGAGGATGGTTTTGAGGAAGAATTGTAGCCTTGACGATGCCATCCCGGGCACGCTTATACATTGGCTTTGCAAGAAGGGGGAGGTGATGGAAGCTAGGAAGGTGTTTGATGAATTTGAGAGTGGCTCGGTTGCTGGTCTCTTGACGTATAACACGTTGATAGCTGGAATGTGTGAGAGAGGAGAGCTTTGCGAGGCGGCTAGGCTGTGGGATGACATGGTGGAAAAGGGTCGTTCTCCTAATGCTTTTACGTATAACATGTTGATTAAAGGATTTTGTAAGGTTGGCAATGCTAAGGAGGGTATCAGAATTCTCGAGGAGATGGTGGAAAATGGATGTTTGCCCAACAAATCAACTTACTCAATATTGATTGATGGGATTTCTCTTACAGAAGGAATGAAAAAAGAAATCAACAAGGTAGTTTCACTGGCCGTGTCCACTGGAGTTGATGGTGACTTGTGGGATCTTTTCTTAAAACATGTTGTGGGTAATTTAGATGGAAATGCAGCTGAGCTTGATAGGATATTAATAGAGAATGCAGTGTGATAATGTAAGCAGTTGATGGTGACTTGTGGGATCTTTTCTTAAAACATGTTGTGGGTAATTTAGATGGAAATGCAGCTGAGCTTGATAGGATATTAATAGAGAATGCAGTGTGATAATGTAAGCATTTTTAAGGTATGATGTTGTATCTGATCATTTCTAGGCGATGACAAATGGTGATTGAACACTGGGGGAACTTTTTATCCAATGTGGAGGTATAGCTTGTATACTCCCCGGTTAGTGAACTTGAAAGTGTTAACCAATTGACTGGGAACCACTTCTTTGCTGGAAATTTGTTCATAATTGGTCTGATTAAAATGGAAGACCATTATAGCCAAACACCAACACCAAGTTTGCTCATTACGAAATTTAATCATCAACCCCTTCAACTTATTGATGGTTGATTATGCAAATATGGTGAGGTGAGTGAGTACCCTGTCATTTATTCAGTTACTACTGTCTATTTATGAATCATGGCATGGGTATCTTCAATTCAGCTGTTTGCATTGCGTTGTAGGTTTTTCTTGTTGTCTGCCCAAGGCTGCGTATTAATTCCTAGGACAAAGGGAATGGATAAATATCTTGTAGTTATGTGGTGTGCTTGAAGAATGAGATAGGTTATGGAATCTGAACCTGATATATTGAGAAGGGTTGCTTTTGGTGTTGTTCTTAATGATTATGATTAAGCACTCTTGAAGCATTAACCATGTATTCAAGTGACTGGAAATTCCTGATATAGCAATTTACATCTGGATCCTTGTTCTGTTTAATCTAACCTTAGTATGATTAAGAAATGAGAATCATACTAATGGAAGCAAACATAAGGTTTCACAATGCTTTTACTATTTAAATGAAAGAGTAAATACTAAATACATATATGGGAAAGAACCTTGTTAGGTGAGACTACATTAATGGTTTTATATATCTTTAACATGCCTCCTCACACGAGAGGCCACTGGGCTTGAAAGGCGGACAATGGACAAGCCCACCTACCTGTGTTGAAAAACTCCATAAGATTTGATTAATTATTAATTAAATGGGGGCGGTGAGAATCGAACTCGTGACACCGAGGCTTTGATACTATGTAAAAAACCAATTAGGCCACTTTGAATAATTAAAAAATTAAAAAAATGTAACTATCTGGTTCTGCTAGAAGATAATATTTGAAATGCTGCTTAATTCTCAGATCTGGAGATTGAGCGATCTTAAACAATTCTACCTAGATAAATACTATCAGCAACTCAATATAAATTATCTAGTGTATAATGTTGTATGAAATACCAAGGTTGATCTTTGCAATATAAAGGCTTTTGTGGGTACTATCTTTCACTTGCCCATGTTGCTTCTTTGTTTCCAGGCTTTTACTTTGTGGAAGCTGCTTCATCATTTTCTGATATGTGCTCTGCTGCAATTCTTCGATCAATTAATGGTGTCTTAGCAATCATATGCAGCGTAGTTTTATATGACATAATTACTCACTTGAAGCCAACACTTGACGAAAGAAAGGCGATGCTTCGTGCAGTAGTCCCATCCTTGTACCCCCTTCACTGGTTCTTTACTTTTTTTCTCTATTATACAGATGTTGCATCTGTTACTGCAGTTCTGGCTATGTATCTTGCAAGTTTGAAGAAGAATTACTGGTTTAGGGCATTGGTAAGGTATTTTTAAACTTTTTATGTTGCAAACATATATTTAAATTGATGAGTGTTTTTTTTATGTATATGTTATTTTTATCCAAGTTGCTCAATTTTAATTTCCTGCGGCACTTCTAGAAAAATTGAACCTATGTCTTTTAACATAGGGTGATAGGGACCAAATTGTACAAATAAGAAATGAAAGAAAAATATGAAATGCGTGTATTGATGAATGCTGGAAATTCAGCAACAGCAGTACAGGTTATGGTGAAAAACTGAGAAATACAAAAAAAGGTAAATATGCAAAAAGGAAAATACAGGTTTTCTGGAGCTATTCGAGAGGCTCCCGAGATCTCTCCCAAGTCTGGTTTTCCAGCCCAAGTCTGTCCAAAAATCCCCATCTCCAAATGTCTCTGGCTCTATTTAACAAACCTAACCACCATGCCACATCAGCAATGATTATATTCTCCCTTCTAACAGATTTGCACCCTTCAGGTATGTGTGCTGTTATCTAGAATATTCCCCAATGTTTTGAGTAACCCTTCCCTTGGTGTCGTATCATAGTGATTATATATATAGATGGCCACCGGTTATAACTTTTTCTTGTATTGAACATATTTATGGCAAAGACCTGGTTTGTTTCTCACTATGATCCTTTGTACTTATAACTAGGAAAAAAATGTATTCTTATCATTAGGGAGGACCCAATATGTTCAAAATATTACTTAATAAATTTCTTATCATTGCCTGATTGCAGAAAAGAACAATTTTATAGACTTATTTTGTAATACATAATTTAGTTTGTAATGGACCTACAGTTATTTTCATAGCTGTTCATAGTTCAAAAGGATCTTTGCAATCCTTTTAACATTATGGCAGATGAAGTGGGAGCTTTTAACTTCGTTTAGTCCCTTTCTCATGGTTGTGGTGGCTTTTCTTTTATTTGTCTATTGGAATGTGATGGGTCATCGGCCTGAGAATTAGTTATGGAAACTATTCTAGATCATTTTGCTCAGATACTTTATTTTAGTTTGTTTTCTGTATTGGCTCAGGCTCCCATGCATTTCACTATCACCCAGGCTGTGGACCTGTTCCAATTGTTTTGGGAACGTAGGCCCCTTCGTTTCTTTCAGATTTCCTGGCTTCTATTGTTGGCCTTCTCTCTGTACACTTTTTCAGGTTAGGTCAGACTCAGATCACTAATTAGACTAGCAAGCAGAATCTTGGTTGTCAACAACTAAATGCATCTTCTGGTGAATTCATGGACTCATTTTCATCAGATACTGTAAAATTTGAAGCTCATTTTTTCCAAACGCATTTTATTGATATATTTCATTATTTTATTTTTACTTTTTTGGTGGGTTATCGATTATCTAATTAATCCTGTTTGAACTCCTTTGGACTCGTATAAGGGACAGTTCTTCCAAGATTATTTTCCCAAGCCTCGAATTCTAGTCATGGGGAAACAAACTCTTTGTATCGGGTTCAGATACTACACCATACCATTCTATATCATGATGCATCACCATAACAATAAGGATGATCAAAGTTGACTTCTCACAGGGACGCTATATATTGGTGTCAATATCTTTACAATGATGATTTTTCTGTTTCGGCCATTTCACTGGGATCATGAGCCTGGAATTCAAAGGTTTATATGGTGACTTAATTCATCAGAAATGCAACATTGTAACACAGCCTAACTGCACTTTTTAGGCGGTTACTACCAGTTACTAGAGTAAAATTTTAAATCTCCTTAATGAATAAGGATCGAACCAGTGACATCGAGACTTTGATATTATGTAAAGAATCAATTTAACCCAAAAAGTTTAAGCTTTTAAGTGAGAAGTTTAAGCTTTTAAGTGAGGTTATATTACTAGTTTTATATATTTCTAACGCACTTATTCCCCCTATACTTTATTTTTTATCATTTATCTCATTGTGCTTTTTTCTATCCAAATCTCTCCTTAACAGTGTTTGAGTTTTTAATTATTATGACTACTCTATCCTTCTTACAAAACACACTTGAGCTCGCTTGTGTCGTTTTCTTTTCCAAACTTTGCAAGGGTTTTTTATAATATAAAATTTATCTAGTTTTAGATAAAATTTGTGAAGTTCATGTAATAAGGGAATAAATTTTCTTTTGATGTTTCTAAGAAGCAGGTAAAATAATAAATTTGGATTCACATGATGTATAATTAGCAAAAATTATTCATGAATAAAATATATACCTAACAAAAATTATTCTAATAATTACTCTTGAGAATTTATCAGTACAATTATAGTACCTACTTTGACATCTTGTCTTGTATTAATGTTATTTATCTTGTTAACATTTTACAATTGTTTTTCAAAATAAAATAAAGTTTTAAATTTTACTTGCTTTTTTAAAAACCTCAAAAGAAAATATATTCCTTGTTACAAGAACTTCACAAATTTATCTGAAATTGGATAAATTTTATATGGCAAAAAATCCTTGCAAAGTTTGGAAAAGAAAATGACACGAGAGGTGAAGTTTACTTTCGTGAGAAAGGTAGAATAGTCATAATAATTAAAAATTCTAACATTGTTAAGGAGGGACTTGAATGGAAAAAAACATAGAGGGAAAAATGATAAAAAAAAAATAAAACATATGGGATAAGTGATTCAAAGGCAACCCACGTGGATTATTTGAACTTTTCCCTTTAATATTTTCTGTTTAAGTTTAGGGGGACTTTAAGTTAATTAAACAAGATGTGTTAAAAAAAAAGTTAATTACACAAGAACTTTTGTCTTTACTCGTGCTGAATTTTGCTAGAGCTGAGTATTGTTCAGTCTAAAATTGCTTCGATTAGTATTTGGTTAAAATGCTTAGAATCAATATGTTTTTTTGGGTAGACGAATCAATATTTTATTGTAAAAATATTTAACAATAACTGCTAACCTTGACATTTTCATAAGCGTTTAGTTTTGGATATTGGCTTGGCTGTTTGCTGAAAAAAATTAATGCTAAGCATCACTTAAAAGTTTGTTTAAAAAAGTACACGAAGGACTTTAAATAATCTAAAAAAATTTAGGCTTTCTAATTAAAAAATAGATATAATCTCTAATAATTTTTTTTTTTGTAAAATACTAATTTTAATATATAATTAGTAAATTATGTAAGTATTATAAATTTTTAATTATATGTAAGTGATAAATAAATAAATAGACTCACCTCGTAACTTATAAGCTTTGTTTGAGGCTTAAACTTTATTCTACTTATTTAATGACGTAATACAATTAAGTATTTATTTTATTTTATTTTTGGTATAACTTATTCAATTTTCGGTTCCCAACAAGCACTAATTCAACTGAATTTGAGGCGAGTAGGATCATAAGAACAACAAAATCTTTCCTACTAAATTTTAACCAATTGTATATTTAGAACTCGAATTCGAGAAGATTGATTAAGTTGAAATAATTTCTGATAAGTTAATTCACGTACTTTTTGAGAGGTAAATACTTATCTTATTTTAGTTCTTAAAATTGTTGATGAAATCAGTTTAATCATTTAAATAAAGTTTTTTTTTTTTTTGAATAACATCATTTAAATAAAGTTAACATTAGTTTAATCATTTTTTTAATCATAAAGATGTCATTAAAATTATTCTTAGATAAACTATGATAAAATAATCAATTCAATCTCTGATTAAATAACTAAATCGGTGTCACTTATATAATTGACGAATTAATTTAATGGCATTTCTTATTATTGAGAAATTTAATGAAGAAACATCAAAATTCATTGTTGATAATGTAAAAAATTCTATTATTACATCTAAGAAACACAAATATCAATCATAGTAGTCCTTACACATTGGACACGTTAGTTACTAATAAGGTCTAATATGGCAGAGATATGCACTTTCTTAAAAACCAGGGTGAGATTTTCGTATTCTCATGAACTAGTGCGCGCAACACAATTGCTTATGAACGAATTTAGAAATTTACACGAAATTGATTTTATCTTTCTTTAAAAAACTGAACTAAGGAAATCTAAGGTCAATACTATCTAAGGGGAGTAAAATCAAATCAAATCAAGATTGGATGATAAGCTAAAGTTTCTACCCATATGATCATGGATTCAAAAATTGGGTTAGACCAAAACAAAAGGAGTTTATAGGGACTCGTTTGGATGTACTTTAGAAAAAAAGAACTTTTAAAGAGTTGCTTTTCTTAAAAGAATTTTTTTTAAAAGTCAAATTTTTTTTGAGTTTGGATGTAATATTTGAAAAGTGCTTTTAAATAAAAATGTCATTTGAATGTTAAAATAAAAAAACACTTTTTAAATATACAATGACAGTTCTACCCTTTTCTCTTTATGCATTCATCTTCTTTTCCTGTGTTTGGGAGATTTTTTTTTTTAACTTTTTTCTGGAGAAAATCCAAAAGAAAGTAAAGTTGAAGAGATAATTCAGCTTCTTTGAAAAGAGTTTTTTTTTCCAAAGATGAAAACTTGATTGAGAAAATGATCATTTCTTGTTGAAGCAAGCTACTTCACTGTTGTTACGGAAGAAACCCATGAGTCTACTAGCGGAGTTCTGGTAAGCGTACATGAAGCTACCCATGACTCCAACCAAACCCCCGGTCACCATCGTAGGTCGCTTGATCCCAGGCTCAATCCCTAACAACACAAAATTTCCAATTTTCAAAAATTCAATAAATGCCAGAGATGGTCACTAATCGGAGATAATCGAGGGTGTTGAAGTTAGCGACCACTTTGGTGAATGGAGGGTTATGATCAATCACAGGGTACTCTGGCTTTGTCAAGGCAGTGATTTCATTGTTCATCTTTCCTTTCTATCAACAACTCCGTTTATGGTAACGAAGGAGAAGAAGGGATAATGGGCGTCCACGAGGTTTCAATTTTTGGCTCTTGCTTCTCTTTTTTTCAAAAGCTAAAATTTTTAGCTTTTGAAAAAAGTTAAATTTTAACTTTTTTTATTAGCTTTTGCTTTTTTTAGAAGTCCACATCCAAACAATCCAAAAATTTCAAAAGCACTTTTTTTAATAAAAAAGTAGCTTTTCAAAATGCAAAAGCCCATCCAAACACACTCAATCCATCAGTAGTCCAATCAAACTCTTAACATATCGAATGGTTTGTTGTTTAAATCATAAAATCGATAAGCGGAGTTTCAAGTACAAGTATTAATTTGGCCAAGGGCGTGAGCAAAGACAAAATTTGAAAAGCACTTTTTTGTGTGGATAGAATCAGGAAAGTAAAAAAGAAAAACAACGCAACAGCCTAGCTGCTAGTAAATCTGCGGTACAAAGTCCCCATCCTATCGTTTCGCAACAAATAACTGCATTCCTGTGGTGGAACATCAAAAACCTTCATGTCCCAATCATCTGTGGCAAAGTTAGATGCGAGCCAGTTAGCTACACTATTTGCTTCCCTGTGAGCATGAGTGATTCTCACTGTCCAATTCGTACTGATAATTCTCAGTATCTTGACAGCCATACTGGTGAGACCTTGATGGCTCGTACTCCCTTTTTTCAAGACATCAACTGCTGAGAGGGAGTTTGACTCCAACCAAACTTTTTTGAACCCCTTCTCCCAAGTCAGCTCCAAACCTAAAAGAATACCCTAAAGTTCCGCCATGAAAGAGTTATTGAAGTCGATATTTTTGTTGAAACCAAATATCCAGTCCCCATTGCTGCCTCTAAGGACTCCTCCGCATCCAGACTTTGTACCATGGTCTCTACAGGCACCGTCAATGTTGATCTTAACCTAACCAGCTTCTGGGAAGATCCACCTAATGTGAATTTCTCTCATTGGTCTCGTTGTCAGACCCGCCTAGACAAGAGTATTATTGGCCTGATGAGCATTGAGGGTAAAATGATAGGCACTGATGCTAGTTCTATAAGGAGTTGCAGTGAGGTTGTTGAAAACCACATTATTCCTTTCCTTCCAAATAAACCAACAAAGCACCCCAAATAGAATTGACCTGATAAGCTTCAAAGTTGGTTTTCCTAAGGTTTGTTGAAAGCCAATTCACCAAATTTCTTTGAGAAAAGCTGAGGAGGTCGCTACCATGCACTTAAAAGAACCACACATCTTTGGACCAAAGACAATCCCGTAGAAGGTGCAAAGAATCCTCTACCTGAGAATTGCATCTCTGGCAGAGAGGAGATATACCCATATTCCTCCTGAATCTGGTATTATTAGTCATTAGTTTTTGGCTCAAAAGGATCCACAAGAACGATCTGATCCTTTGGGGCCCTCCCAAGACCACACCAATTTCCAATCCACCGTATTTGATTGGTGATTAAGAGTAGTTAGCTTCCCATATGCGGACTTGGTAGAGAATCTACCATCATTCTCATAGCTCCAAATGTCCGTCTCTACCCCCCTGAGATGAAGGAGGGAGTATGCCTGCAATGTAGTTAATCCATTCATCCGATAGAAGGTGTTGGAAGAGCTCCCACCTCCAACTCTCATCCTCATTAACATAATCAGCCACCTTGCAGTCCACAACATCAATCAGTACTTGGCCTACCACAAAATTCAGTAGG